AAAGAAAGAAAGAAAGAAAGAAAGAAAGAAAGAAAGAAAGAAAGAAAGAAAGAAAAAAGAAGCGGGGAAGGAAAGGGAGAGAGAAAAATACAAGAATCGGGGAAGGACTAGAACAACCAACTGTACATTGAGAGGTAAACGGATTAACAACCGTAGTCAGGAAAAAGTACTGACAGATGTACAAGGTGAACAAATCTCCGATTATGCTAGTCAGGTGCGATAGTTCCCTTCTGCATCCAGCACCCGGGTGTCTGGGAAGGCGGGATTTCTGCAGACTTGAGGCCAGCCTGGATCAGACAGCAAGACTTTGTCTCAAAATAACCAAAAGGTATGCATTGGGCTGTGGTTCTAGCACCTGTTCAAAGATCCCAGACAAGCCTTCTAAGCTAAGGTTGTGTCCGTTATCTGTAACATAAAGACAACAATGAAACATACCTCAAACGGTGGGAGAGTCAATAAGCAGTATATGTAAACCACTTAGCAGAGGGCCAGGCAACAGTGGACTGCTCAATAAGCAGAAGCAATTACTGGTTTTGTAGCAATTCTTAACCTCAGGTAAGCAAAAGAATGGGAGAGAGAGGTTTAATGCAAGACTGATCCCCCTGCATGGATCATTTCTCTTCTAGGGTTAAAATAACATTTTAATACTATCACCATTTCCTTCTTCACCTGTGCCTGCCACAAGTCCACCATCTAAGCACAGGAGGGCTAGCCAAACAAGCCTCTTGTGCTTGTTTTGAGCTGATGAAATGCTTCCCCCAAATGCCCCCACAAGCCTTTCCTCCTGCCAGGACAAGCTAAATTGGCTGAAGCTGTGGCCTCCGGGAGGGAAAGTCTCCCCAGTTCCATCTTTAAGCTTAGCCACCACCCTTCTGGGTTTTCATACAGTGTGAGTTCTGAAGGGAGGGGCCGAGTTGAAGGTGAACCCCTCTCACCAAATGCAGAGACAGGGTCTGGATTTTCGGGGAGTAACCCCACTTTCTCAGGTCCTGTAAAACTAACCTGGGAACTTACTCTCTACCAACTTATGAGGGAAGGCAGTCCACGCCTGATTCCTTAGCTACAAAAGGGGAGCTAACAATGGCAGCTTCATGAAGTTCCCTGTGAAGCTAAAACACTCCCCAGCACATGCCGAGTTCTGCAGGTGTTGACTAACCTTTACCAGGGGTTATTTTTTATTTTTTCACTGTCTTGTTTTTTAGTTCCTTTTACTTCTCAATCACTAGGCCTTAACAATGGCCTTGTCATAGGCTGTTTCAACCCCAATGCACTTGTGAAGTGGAAGTTTGGCTGGAGACGTGTGTGTGTGTGTGTGTGTGTGTGTGTGTGTGTGTGTGTGTGTATGCCTTGGGGGTTGAACCCAGGGCCTCAGTACACTCTGGGCAAACTTTCCAAGCTACACTCCTAAGCCCTGGCTAACGGCTTTATAAATATCCTCCAAGTCAGAGGGGCCCAGCTTTTCCACAGGTCCAACCGCAAATGGTTGATCTGCTCCTTTTATTTTTTTGAGAAAACAAACTGCACATAAAACAACCCAGCAGAGATCTGAAACTACTCAGTGATTTTATTCATAATGACAGCGCCTAAGCGCCTGGAAGTGCACGCACAGTGAGCAGGATCCATTCAGTCTATCATAATGTCCGAGCTCTTTTTGGATTCACAAAGCTCCTGGAACCGGCTCCAGACACTCGTAAAGCAGAACCGAAAAAGCGACCTGACCAGGAAGTATCTCCACCAACAAAGTCAAGACTTAGAAGGAAAATTTCAGTATGTTACACTGCCCAAAAGAAAGCCGAGGCAGCTGTCTTCAGAGAGAGAGAGAGAGAGAAGCTTGGTGCCTAGCCAGCAGCCGAGCCGCAAGCTTCTACTGACTCAACTATCAGCTCCATGGCCCGCCTGGCCGAGCTCTCTAAAATGCAAATGACAGGGACAATTGTAAAATGAAGGCTCATCTCAGTAGAAATAGAAAAATTAGAAATGAGGGCGGTGGTGGCATTAAAAGGCTCTTTATCCCAAAAGGCCAATGCTCTCAATTTTATGAAAATCTAAGAGCTTACTCCGAATTGGCAAAATTAAGGGACCTACTATGGCCAGTTCCTGGGTAAACACACACACACACACACACACACACACACTCTGAACACCTCCAGCTCTGAGGCAATTAAGTCAGGATTCTCAAGGAACAGAACTTATAGAAATATATGTATTTATATGAATATATATTCATAAACATCTGTCTTACATGCTGAGGTTCAGCTGGTCCAGCAATGGCTGTCTACCAACGGAAGGTCCAAGAACCCAGTCCACACGGCTGGCAGTCTCAGCTGGTCTTCAGTGTATGCCAGAATCCCGAATGTACAGGCCCCAATGCCAGTGAAGAGACAGACCTGCCAGCCGGAGCAAGCGGGCACTTCCTTCTCCCTGTCCTTAGTAGAAGCTACACCCTGTGGCCCAGACTAGAGGTGTCTTCTCACCTCAGAAGATCCAGATTAAAAGTGGTTCTTCTCATTTCAAATTATTTAAGGAAGAAAAAAAAAAAAAAATCCCTCACAGCTGTGCCCAGGGGTTTTGGTCAGGTTGACAACCAAGAAAGAACAGCCGCCACAGTAACCATAACTAAGGACAAATTTGGAGAAAGAATCCTCCAAACATTCTGTTCCAAGGTCTTCGGGGCCCCCCACCCCAGCCTTGGAAGCAGGTACAAAAGCAGTGATATCTAAATTAACTGCAACTGCAGTGTTTAAGCACGTGCTGCTGTGTGAGGCAGTGGTGGGCTCTGGGGGTGAAGAGATCAGGCCAGCTTGACCAGCAACAGCTCCAGACAACTGCTCGGGGATACACGGCAAGAAGGAAAAGGCTAATTCCTGAGTGGGTACGTTAGAAAGATCGCTTCATGGGCCCGGAGCGAAAAGCAGTATCCTTGTGTAACCTGGCACCGCAGCGGAAACCGAAAAAGATAAATCACAAACCACGAGCAGGGGCTGTGAAGCCTGAGGGAGAGCCGCGCGGACCGTTCTTGTGTGTAAGTGAGCTGAAGGCGAGGACACCGCCCTAAGCCCCGCAACCGCCGGTACCCAGGACACCAGGTAAGGGGACAGGGCGGCTTAGCTGTGTCCTGGAGCCCTCTAACCGCCACAGTAATGCACCCATCTCCCTTTAAGTGGATAGATAACAGGTGCCCGGACAGCCTGGAGCACGGAGACACCGGGCGCAGAGGCCCACCATTAGCCAGTTTACAAGTAACTCCAAGAAACTGAGGAGGGTGCGGGGCGCTCTACAGCTAAACCACGGGGAAACTCAGAACCACAACGGCTTAAAACTTCAGAAAGGCGCCCTCTCCGAGACTCTTAAAGTAGCTTTGGAAGAGAACGAGAAACTAACGCAGGTGGACAAAGTTCTCTCCTGATTTGAGCGGCTGACTCTGCAACAGCGTTGAAAAAGCAAAAGGGCCAGCGAGAGCCTTGACGCAGGGGCCTCACTTGGCGCTGGTGTACTTGGTGACGGCCTTGGTGCCCTCGGACACGGCGTGCTTGGCCAGCTCCCCGGGCAGCAGCAGGCGCACGGCCGTCTGGATCTCCCGGGACGTGATGGTCGAGCGCTTGTTGTAGTGCGCCAGGCGCGACGCCTCGCCCGCGATGCGCTCGAAGATGTCGTTGACGAACGAGTTCATGATGCCCATGGCCTTGGACGAGATGCCCGTGTCGGGGTGCACCTGCTTCAGCACCTTGTACACGTAGATGGAGTAGCTCTCCTTGCGGCTGCGCTTGCGCTTCTTGCCGTCCTTCTTCTGCGCCTTGGATACAGCCTTCTTGGAGCCCTTCTTGGGAGCCGGGGCGGATTTGGCCGGTTCAGGCATGATTGAAAGTTAAGTACAGGAAGTCAAATTAAGTAGAAAAACAAGTAGGGACCTGAGTCCTTTATAACCACCGCATGCAAATTAGGCCTCAAAACACTTTTCATTTCCATTGGCTCCTACGCGCAATTTGTGTTTTCAGTACAAGACTGCGTAATAAACACTCCAAATCTCAGATTTCATTGGACTTCTCGGAGAATCAAATAACGACCAATGAAAAGCTCCCTCCTGACCCCACCCCTAGGGACGCCTATAAAGGCCTTATAGGGGAGCTACCCTGCTTTTACAGGGGTGTGCACTAGGGCTCGCTTCGCTTTAGACTTGAGTTATGTCCGGCCGCGGCAAGCAAGGAGGCAAGGCCCGCGCCAAGGCCAA